GAAGGAGGAAGAAGAAAAAGAAGAAGGAAGAGAAGGAGGGAGAGAGAAGGGAAGGGAGATGGGGGAGAAGGGGCAGGAAAGCAAGAAGGGAATGGAGAACTAACTACAAATTTGAGGAAGAGGGAGGGTAGCAATTACTAGCAAAATAATTATGCAAAGGGGAGGAGAGACATACATGTAGAGACAGCATGTTAGCATTGTAGGTCTTTACTCTAGTGAGAGTGGATGGAGAGGGATTACACACTTCAAAGAAAGGAGGAGGAGAAGCGGGAGGGGGAGCCTTTGTCTCCTGATCAGGTAGGGGGATCCCCTTCCATCCTCTAATTGTCAATGTCAAGTTTGGATGTTTGCACAGTGATGAATCATTCAACGTGCTTTGTCTGACCCGCAACAAAGAGGTTTCCATTTTATCACTCCATGAATCTAAGTGCTTTAAAGTGCATACCCACTCAACAGGGAATGAATCATGGATTAGGGATTAAAGTACAACTATTAGGAAACTGATTGGTAAAACCAACAAAAACCAAAATGGCAAAATCTAAAATCATATGCGACACTGGTAATCTCACCAATTTCTGATTTGGTTTTGGAATCATGATCAACAAAATCACAACAAATTGGTAAAATCTTGCTGGACATCTTGTGAAACCAGTACATGTAATGTCACTATGAACATGACAGACAATGAAAGGGGACAAAATATACAGTTCCTCAGGTAGAACAGGTGAATATGCATATTCACCTGTTCTACACATTTTTACAAAATAGCAGTGAAGGGATGTTCCTTTGTCTACCTGAGGAACTGTATATTTTGTCCGCTTTCATTGTCTGTCATGTTCATAGTGTGTACAGGTACAGGCTTGTACATGTATGCATACGTATGCCCAATATACACATGTATGTACTGTACATGTGCAGGTCAACTCACTTTTCATTGTTTGTTTTCATTGCACTGTTCCAACAATGGATGACAACATAACAGATTAACAAAAGAAAACTCCGGCTGTGGTACAGGTGACAGCATGTATTGTTTTATTTGTGTCTATACAGGCCTATTAATTAATGTATTACACATGTACAGTACTATTTTGTATTTGTAGACTACACTATACATTTTTGTCCATGTACCTGAAGCCAGGCCTGGATTGTTTGCCAAAAATGTCCTGTACTGTACTGTACAGTTTTCTGCAATGTATGTCAACAAACGGAATTCACAGAAACTTCCCACTTCCGGCTTTCTGTTCGCTATTTTTTTCCTTCTTCCCCTTCCTATTTGCACATGACAAAACAAATTTCCTCCTCAGTTGGATAATATGTGAAAAACTAATCCCTACATGTATGTACAATGTACAGTTGTAGTTTGTACAAGTATGACTTTAATAGATAATGGGTTTATAATAGCTGTTTGGTCTGCAACCAGTTTGTCTCAGTATTATCCACATGATCTAATAATTTGGTCTAATGACCATTTAGACTAGTACAATCATCATTTGGTTTATATTTCAATTGGTCTAATGTCCATGGTCTAATCTCCAATACATGAACAAGTCTACCACCCATGATTTGATGATTTGATCGATTGCTCATAAATGTAGTGTAATTTCCAGCTACAGTTGTAATTTAATTCCCAGCTGGTCCAGTGCCCATTTTGTCTACTAATCATATGGTTTATTAATATTCATTTAATCATACTGGTAAATAATAATAATAATCATCAAGTCCAAGTGTGACTTGGATGTACCCATACCCATATTACTCCTGTCACTAGCTTGCATTGGAACTGAACACAAATCATAATCAAACATGGTATATATTTATATAAAAAGAAACTTGCTTTGAAGAGGTCTTACTTTTAAGGAGAACTGGACCTTTAATATTTAATTTAATTTTCATTTGAAAAGATGCGTAATCGTGTTGCTCTAATTTTTGTACAACATAAACATGTTGTTGTATTTGTAAGTCAGCTTGCCAGCTATCAGTGTTCATGATATGAAGTACATGTACAGTGCACTCTTCTGTAACAACACCAAGAAAAGAAACGGATCCTGATTCTCCATCAATTTTTTGTTTTATTGGAACCAAGTGTTGCTTAAACATACAAGAATGTTGCTCAAATTATCTTCCATGTTACATGTACGATGTAGCTCTACACATTCATCATGTTCATGAACTTCATATGCAGTCTCTTGTACAGTCATACATAAACAATGAATTTGCATTTTTTTTTTTGTTAAATCTTGTCTGAATAGGAGCGGCCTGTCTGCATTCCACATAGCCACAGGTTCAGATACTAGTACAGTATGAACTAAGTGTTGATTTGTGGTGTAATGCATGACCACTCAAGCAAACTGAGCTAAAATTTGTATTAATTTTTCCCACCAATTTATCTCACTGCACAATGTTGTGCCCTGTTGAGCATGAATTACACTATGAAAGGGTAGAAAATAAGATACTGGATTGCCCTTAAAAAATGCTACATGTACATGTACCGGTAGTTACAATGTAGTACAAACTACAAACATTGTTTTTTGTTGCAGAGAAATCCATCTGCTTGGGAGTTTTTTAAACATATTTTTTTCTCCAAGAAGAGGGATTCCATGAAGCCAAACGTATTCCCAGAGGTTGTGTGTCCGGAGAGGTTGTGTATCCAGACAGTTGATTTTTTTTTTAATGTAATCAAAGGCTATTGTTTAACAATAATTGCAATTTTTATAATATAAAGGACAATTTTTCACCATGGTTAGTGCTTTTTGATGTATTAAACCTGAAGGCAAAAGAGAAGGCTTTAATCTTTGTCAATTGTCCGGACACCCAAACCCCCATCACACATGTTGTTTCAGCAAAACATATCTCAGAACGAAACGGACCAATTTGTTGGTCTAACCTGAACCTAATCTTGTATGAACAAGGCTACCACATAGTCCATGTCATAACACTTCCTTCCCGCTGGCCAGAGGTAGATACAGGCCTGGCCTGGTTTAGTGATGCCCTTTACAATGATAGCGTGACGAGCTTGTCAAGTAAGGTAGCAACGCCTGACATTTCAACTCAACCAGTTGGTTAGTGATCTCATTACAAGATACTCATATAGAGCTCAGCTTGATGTCTGCATTCGCAGCTGTTCTTTGCCCACGTCATTTCAAGCATGTGGGACTGCATGTGGCATGAACTTGGTATGCCCTTCAAACCAGTTAGAAAGACAACATTAACATCCATTTACAGATGTACATGTACAAGTATACAATGTACAGTATTGAAACCTGTATATAAAGGCTGCTCAAGGTAGACAATAAAACTGCTCCTATAAGGCAGGTGGTATTTACATAAAGTATGTAAAGGTCCCTTTTAGTACAGGTTTTCAATGAAAACTAATTTTCAAGAGAAATGAAAAATGTGGTCTTTATGGACAGGTGATCTTTTTATAGAGGTGGTCGCTACAGCAGGTTTGACTGTACATGTACGAGGAATTTAGATAACGTTGTACCCCTGAATAGCTCTCTCATGTATCCAGCAATAGACCCAAATTAAATTTTTTCAGGGACAGAATTCATATTCTTACGTAAAAAGAGTTGCTTTGATCAATCGCAAGATTGCAGTCCCTATCTCTACATGAACATACCTGTAGTTGCGATTAATATCAACTCTTTTAAAGAGGGGCCCAGATGAATTAAATTCTTACTCAACATCCACAAAGCTAGGGATCTGGAGGGGGGAGCAGAAAATCATCTGCCAGGGGGGCATTTCACAAAACTTATCATCAGTGACAAATGACAGTTTTTGTTATAAGCTACTGAAATCCTTGCTTCTGATTGGTTATAAGCAGATTTGTCACTGATTTTTGTCATTTGTCATTGAAAAAAGGCCTGTGAAACGGGCCCGAGGATTCATCAAGTCCCTCTCCTCCAAGATTGAAGATAGATTTTCTGTCTAAACGGTACATAAATGCCAGTGGATGGGGAACTTTTAGACTTAAATGCCCAAATTCACAAAGGTGGTTTAGATTTAACCCAAGGTTTAAACCCTCATTTACATAACCCATTGTTTAAAAATTAGCGCAAAATAAGCGTACCTTGCCTTGCGCGCATCTTATATTGGACCTCTGACTTGTGACGCGCTTATTAGTGACGCGCTTATTAATGACGCGCCATGTAATGAGGTGAATACTTGAATATTCGGACGCCATGTGTTTTTTGGGCCGCCATTTTTTGGGGGGCCGCCTTCTTTCTTTTTTTCTTTTTTTTGAATGAAAACATACCCTTTCAATCACTCAAACAACACAAACCAAGCAACATACCATATCTTGGGGGGTTGGGGACGCAAAATTTTAAAAAGAAAATAGATTAAAATATATTGATCCAATCTCATCCCTCCCATCATAGTATTGGTAATTTGGTAGTAGACTCTATGGTAGATTTGACGATGATCAGGGAGAGATGGGAGGATGCTGCACTGCCAGCCTGGTCCGCGTCTGTCGGGCTTCCTGAGCCGCGTCCCCTCCGCTAGCCTAAGAAAGACCCACGAGTAGAAAAGTGTTCTTGATGCGACAGGCAGAAATAGAATCAATTAAGCAAGCTTAAGCTAACACAATTGAAGCTTTACTAGTATAAGTAGGGGTGTATTAAAGCGCGAATGAGAAGGAAAAGAGAACAAAACGATGATGGATATGGATAAGGTGGAGAATAAGTTTAGAGAAGCCAAACAATATTAAATAGGTCTAGACTCTATGCCCATTTCTTTGATGAACTTGCTGAAATATTATCTTTCAAATGTCGTTGGAATTTAACCTTTTCATTTCGGGGCCTGCAAATGGGACATAGTACCTTTAAGTCATGTATGGGCGGGTGAAATATGTAAAGTTGGTACCTCTACACGTCAAGCGTCGCGCGTCTAGCGGCAGACAGGATACGATTCGCCCGACTGCACCCGCAGCCCAGTCGGCTACGGCGACACCACTGTCGGCCACACTTTGGCCAAAGAACGAAGGAAGAAAAAAGACTCACCTCAAATTCAAAGCGGCCGAAATGACACCTTTTCCACGTCCTCCAGACAATAATTTTCCAATCGTGACAACGTTACCAGTTCTTGCAGCTTCCAACAAGTCGTTCTCCTTGCCCATTGCGACTGAATATCCTTCTAAAATCCCAGAGAAAACAGAAAATATGAAAGATTTTCTGAAAATAATCCCGGAAGTCTTGCCTCAGTAGCTAAGCTGCATGTTTGTAACTTTGCTTCGCGATCGCGTGTATACTCTATATGCGCTGCAGAAACCCACCGGCCGTGTACTCTCTCGATCTCTTGTTGACAGCTGGAAAGTGAATGCTAGTTTTATAACCCAGCGGTTTTTAAAGAAAACTATAATGTGATCATCCCAATGTTTGCACAGAAATACGCTAGTATATAAACAATGGTCTGGTAAAAAGACAAACCAATACCTGTTGTAAACATGACACGAGACCAAAAGGAAGTTCTGAGACAAGAAAGAAGAAGAGAAAGAAGAAGGAAGGAATGAAGGAAGAAGAAAAAGAAATATTCCTAACCTAGTTTTCTTAAAGGGTTGGCCTCTTACAAGGTTTGTTTCCTTTTTGGCCACTGCCTGGCCTTCCTCACTTATATAATTCATCTTATGTAGACTATATTGGCATACAATAATCTGTTTATATATGTATTTTTATCTGTTGATCTCTTGAGGAGAAATAAATGAAACTGAAACCTGTTTCATTGTTGTAATTTAGGTCGATATAATGAATTGGGAGAAAGCGAGTTTGTGTTTGTACATACACCTCTAGTTGGTCTAGTTGTAAGGCCAATCCAAAAAAAAGAATCTCCATGCACTCCACTTCACTTACAAGGCTGTCATATAGGTAGGGGTTCACCCTTGCCAATTTTCTGTGTCAACTAGGCAAATTGGACTACATATAGGTAAGGTACAGTCCTCTATTTCCGAACAAAATGTCGCCATTTATTTATTCATCATTATATGGGCATATTGTTTTCTTGGTAGTCGTTGTTTTGATAATATCAACATGAATCAAACCTATGCTGAACATTGTATTTTGATAAATCTGCCGAAGATTGTTAGGCCTTATTCAAAGAAATCCCGTTTTTCTGAAAAAAGAACCCAGCAAAGTGAAAGGAAAAAGACAATGGAGGGGGAAACGGAGGTAAGAAAGAAGGAAGGACGAAATAGACCAACTGAAAAAGTTGTTCTCAAATATCCTAACTTGATAACTTCGATACCGGGAGAGGGCGTCCTTACACTAGCGATGGTTAGGAGCCTTTGATCTTCAATATCAATCAAATGTGGATTTATTCTCTGTTAGCAGTATAACTCACAGAGAGAGAGAGAGAGAGAGAATGTGAGAGATAAAGAGAGAAAGTGTGTGTGTGTGTGTGTGTGTGTGTGTGTGTGCGTGCGTGCGTTTGTGTGTGTGTGTGTGTGTGTGTGTGAGAGAGAGAGAACGAGAGAGAGTGTTAGAGATCAAGAGAGAGAGTGTAGACAGAAAGAAAGAGAGAGAAAAGAGAGAGGGGGGGGGGGGGGGGGGTATCCCGGAGTAGTAGCAAGGTTTGGAAGTCATGGGGATAGTGCTAGATAGGCCGATTACAACCACTATTAAAAATAAAATATGGGCAATAACGTATCTTCATCCGGCGGGACTGTAACATTTCACACGAGGGATTCAGCCCCTTGTTTAATGATTTATGTGATGATCATCTTTGAGGATTGCTTTACCTGTCTGCTAAGCAAGCATTGTTCGTAATTAAGCAGCCAGGGGACTTACGGCTTTAAGTCTTCTGTGAAGATCAGTTAAATCAAGCAATATAGAATATTTTGTCTTATTCTCAAACTTAATTGTACTCTGTAATTTTATTATATTACGTACATACTTATCAGTATTTCGTTACTTGTATGATTCATTTTTCTATTATATATTGTAATACTGTATGGTTTATATATGTCATTTTAATATGTTAATATTTAGTGGAAAATTAAATCAAATCAAATCAATAACAAAAAAAGGGAGGACTTGGTAATGAGGATTAAAGCTTCGCCAAATGGCACAAGCAAACTGATTAGGTTTCGAACCCTGGACCTAACGGTTACTTGACCACTTCTCTACCACTGAGCCATCGCGCCTCTTCTAAATATACGTCAATATCAATAGGCCATTTGCGTAATGGAATAAGTATCCATACGTCTTCAATGTTAAAGGGACATCGAACCTTAGTAGTAGTGGTGCTCCGGTTGTCTCATTTTCGCCAGCACAAACGTAGCTAGTTCGCCGTCTACTAGAACGTATATAGCAGACGGCAATCGGCGGATCAGACGACACTTGATAGTGATTTTGTATGTGAGATTGCTTTGCTAAATATAAAATACAAGAACCTTTTCCATATCTTTAAACTATCATTGATATCTGATAATTAAACAGTTAGTAAAATAAACCTACCAAACTACATAATACAATGAAATACTTGACTGAAAGTAGGGTAATTTGATGTGGTGCACAATTGCACCCCTCTGTTAATAATCTAATAGTCAATGGTTTGTCATGAATATTCATGTTTTTGCTTACCTCGGCAAAATGTTTGCCTATACTAAATGGAAAAATTAAGGTGGGGGGTTGGCTGAAGTGGACATAATAAACCAAGCAGAACTGCTATAGTCTTACAATCGCGTGGTAAATTGCGTCCAAATTAAGTTCGACTTGTTACACATGCGTTATATATGCAATGGCAATCTTGCGACCTATTTTGATCAAATTACGGTGGGTGAACTTTCAAAAGTCAATGGGACACAGGCACGTACGCAGGGGGGGGGGGGGGGGGGTAGGGGTTGAACCCCCTCCCTTGGAATTTGTTATGTGTGTATTTTGAACGAAACCCCCCCCCCCCCCCTTTGAAATTTAAAAAAAATATATTATAATGGGTGACCCGAAAAAGGTGACCTCACCCCCCCCCCCCCCCCACCCACCCCAACGGACCGAAAGGTCGATCCGGTAAATTTTCAAATTGTTGAAGAAAAAAAAACAACGGGAGAGTTGTCCGTAATATATCAGTCGCACCGCCAAACCGATAACACACCGACAACAAACCGACCTAAATTTAGTCTCAAATTACTTGATTCCAGAATATTATTGTAAGATTATGATTGTTTCATGTTACTTTTGTAAGAGCTTTTTTGTGTGTGTGCCTTATTCGTGATTTAAACAAAAAAAGTTATTCTTATTTTTAACCCCCCCCCCCCCCCCCCCCCCCCCCCCCCCCCGTGGATCCCCGCCTGAAAAAGCTAACCTTAATTATACAAAAATGACGCACAACCACCATACAGTCACTGAACAAAGATATCTCAGTCTATATGTCACATTCATTACAAAACAACAACAACAACAACAACAACAGATAGAAAGACCAAAGTCGTTTTGGCATTACAAACCAAAAGAAGAAAAAATTGTTCAAGCGTAGCTAGAATGATCAAAACCATTTCAGTGCAATGGGAAATGTCAAAATCACTTGTCTAAATCGAGGCAAACAAACAAATAAACAAACAATCAAGAATCCCATTATAATTCATTCAAAGATAGACATAACCGTAACAAACCAAAATCATTCCGGCATGGCTAACAAACTAAGCATCATACAGTCATTAAACGAAGATATCTTATAGTCTATGTCACATTCATTACAAAACAAAGACCAAAGTCGTTCTGGCATTACAAAACAAAAGGGAAACAATTTGTTCAGGCGTGGCTAGAATAATCAAAACCATATCAGTGTAATGGGAAATGCCACAATCTCTCGTCTCAATCGAGGCAAACAAACAAACAAACAAAGAAACAAGAAACCAAAACAGATTCATTCAAACATCACAGAATTTTAGATAATATGTTAAATTCTAAGGAATATAGGCTACAATGAGCAAAATCGACACACCTCATTCAAATAGACATAACACAAATAATCAAAACCATTCCGGCATGACTAACAATCAAATAAACTAAGGCCAAAAAAAATATATATGTTTAGCGTCCTGTTTTTTCGAAAAATAGGAAAGAGGAGGCCATTTCTTTTTTTCTTTTTTTCTTTCAAAATGGCCGCTCGATTTATTTTCCCTGACAGTCGGGCTATTTTTCAAGATGGCCGCCGACTTTTTTTTTTTTTTTTTTTTAAATCAGAAATAGATTGATTTTAGCAGTGTTTTTCATGTTTTTTTCTTTAAAAAAAAAATATATATATAAAAAATTTCAAAAAAAAAAAAAAAAAAAAAAAAAGAATTAGGAGGCCGCCCCCGAAAAGGAAGCGGGCGGGGATGCTAAACATGTATATTTGTTTAAGTGGCCTAACAAAATCAAGTGACTATTAAAAAAGGATCACTATAATAAATCAAAGTATTTCTTGAATAAATGGCTCTAGTCGGGTATATAGGGAGAGTGTTTATTGTGTCATCTTTACATCAAACAAGACTAAGGTCTCATCACAACAATATGATACCAACAATTTACAAGACAAGCAACGCAACATGAAGTCTCAATCAGATAATTCATGAAGTGGTGAACCGCGAAATTGTTTAAAATAAAATTTATGTTGACGTTACGTGTATCACGCTTCACATTTCTGTATCTTTTATAACTCGGAGCTTCGAGAAAAAGCGTATAACATTTATTGCACGTAGTTGTCATTTATTAGCACGTTGAAAGGAAACCGCGGCGGGCTTTTTATTTTACCGCGTATTATCTCAACGAGCCTTTAAATTATAAAAAATAAAAAATAAAAAAAAATAACTATACAAGTCAATGCTACACGGTAGGCGCGTACACAGGGGTGTGGGGGTATTTTTTATGTGTGTATTTTTGAGGGAAAAAAAAGGTGTCCTCTTAGCACGCTGGAGAGAAACCCTTTCAAGTGCAAATATTGTGAGAAGATATTCAACTCATCTGGTAACTTAACCAAACACATGATAACTCTGGATATGACTGTGTATTAAACTGTTACTTGATTTTAAAAGACGTTATCATGCACTGCTTTTTATGGTCTCCATTGTGTTAATAGATGCCAGGAAAACATCACTTACGGGGTTCCAATAAACACCCCAAAAAAAATCGGCTCGCCGCTTCGCGGCTCGAGGACGATGCTCCGCATCGTCATTATTTTGGTCAAACCCCCCCCCTTAGCAAAAAGCTAGATCCGCCCCTGCATTACGCTCTTTCGGTGCCCATAGGCTTTCTTCCTACCATATGCCCACGTACTTCACTTTAGTGGAGACTGCCATATTATGTAGATCAATGTGTTTCCAAAGGAAATAATGATGAAGAAAAATAGGTAAATCAGATAGTTAACTAACTAAACAAATTATCTGGCTGCAAAGGTAAGAAAATGAAATTAGTGGTATTTGACGTTTTAGTTGATTTAAACAATGTATAAAACTGCTTGTAAGTATTGGCTTGCATGGTGATGTAGATATGCAGTAGGCCTGTGGGTGCGACGGGTAGTCAACCTATTCGATACGTCGAGCCACTCCCACCACTCATCCTCTCCAAGCGCTATATAACTATAAGCTAAAAAGATAACCAATAGTCCTTTTCAAGACTACACCAACAGTCCTTTTCAGGACTACACACCCTCAAGAAAGATTACCGAGATTCCTTTTCAGGACTCCTCAATCCTCCCTTTCTCTCACATGGTGCACCCGCAAGCCTACTGTAAATGTATAAAACGTGTGATAGAAAATAACAACTACAATCACACTAGGCCTACTTATAGTTTACAAAATTTGATACACAATTTAGAGCAATGCTTTCCTTTTTGATACGATATTACCACAAACATTAAAATTATACATGTGCTGAGTTTTATGAGCATAAGTTTTGTTTTATATGCAAAAAGTAAAGTTAGATTAGAACAACGTATTATTTCTCTAGAGATTAGTTTTACAATAGCATTAATACGATAGGGTAATTTTTATTAAGTAATTTAGTGCTGCCCGTAAAGTAAATATTGAGCTACCGATACATGTACACATTCAGCTTATATAATACGAAGAATACAACATAGGGATACCAGTGGTGAGTTGTATGTCACCGAGTTATGCAATAAGTAAGAACGGAGTAAAGCAGCTATTACAAATCACAAAGTTTGTGGTGACATTTCATCGGCCTACGACTTCACAATGGTATGACGGGTCAGTCAAAAATAGCTTTAGTCTGGTCTAATATTGACTATATATCTATATGAATTTTTAAAACAGTGCTTGAGGAATTGGAGATTGAGCAAAAGTTTTTTTTAGAGTCGGTGGGAAAAAGGATTTTGGACACGTCATCAGAGGCCAGAGTCAACGTACTCACATCCTTGAGGGTGGAATCTAGAGGATAAGGTCAAGAGGAAGGAGAAGAAAGAGATGAACAGATGAAATCGAACAACGGACAGGGAGATCCCGTACAGAATGCACAGAAACAGTGAGAGTGAGAGAGAAAAAAAAGAGAGAGAGAGAGAGAGAGAGAGAGAGTGTGTGTGACAGTGGAGACAGTGGAGACAGTGGAGAGGATGAACCCCGACCCTCAGTCGTACGGATGGGAGAAGAACGAACGACGATCATCTACTTCTTGAAGATGGCCCGCTTGACTTGTCTGAACATCTCTTTACAATCTTGACGAAAGCCTCTGTTCAATTGCCAGTAGACGAATACGTTGATGATTGAGTTGATTTCATAGAGGCGAAATACGATGGCATAAATGGTATGATGCACATCGGACCGGTTCATGAAGGCTCGTCGGGTCTCGATGGGTATATATCGACCGATTAGCAGCGGAATCATGCTGATAAGGTAAATACCAGTGATGGTGCCGAGCATTAAAGTCAGTTTCTTTTCTGACAGTCGAATGTTGGCATTCTGATCATATTTTGTTTCCGTTTGTGATGAGGCTACAACGATGACCGGTGCTGCATCTGTCGCGTCGGGAAGAGCGGTCGTCTTACGATGTTTGCCAGAGACGACCTCAACATTTCCAGTTTGCGGGGATCCATGATTTGTGAGAACTGGTAAACCGTTTGCCTGAGATTCATCGAGGCTTTCCGAGTGCATGCTGCCTAAAGCGGTGTGAACAACAGATTGATCTGTTTGGTTTTTTGTCTGTCCAACTCCATCCTCGTTCAGTGTCTTTGGACCAGCTGTCTGTCCACCTTCGTTGCAAATGCTAGATGATGTCGCCGTTTTCGGTCCTTTGATATACTCAATTTGACTTACAGCCATGCTGGTACTTGGAGGTGCTATTCTGCTAGTTATATTGGTGACAAGCCTTGCGTGAACCTTCGACAGGCGACGAAGGACGAAGATGACCCGACAATATAACAAGAACGAAGTAAAGACACAAGTCATGACATACCCCTGTCCGAAGTACTTGTCCCACTGAGTGAACCAATTGATATCCGACCTATACATGCAGTCTTTGATGAAGTCGTCGTAGTGTACCACGACAATAGTAGGTGTTATTATTATAAACACCAGCAGATAGGTGAACATGACAATGATGACGGCTCGACGCACTGTTGGTCGGCGGTGGACGGGGAAACACACCGCTAAGTACCGGTCGAAGCTAATAACCATCGTCATCAGCATTTGAGAACATACGAAACATAAGTCCAAGTACCATTTGAATTTGCAATACAAGTCACTTGCTACCCATACCTTAACTTTAAGGAGGCATAGTACAGATGACAGCAAATCGGCGATTGCTAGCCCCATAATGAAGATATCTGTACCAATTTTTCTTTTCTTTTTCGAGTAGCCGGCCAAAATAACAATATTGCTCGGCAATCCGATAGTGAACACGATTGCGTAGAAAGCAATGAAGACGCTGCGAATGATAGCCATACTTTGACAAATGGATCCGTTGGTCGGTGATCGGTTCCAATTGCAATGTGTTGCAAAGTAGAAGTCCGAGAATACTTTAAGAGCATCCGTCTGTGTCTTATTTATAGGCTAAAAACCAACATTAATTATAAAGTCACTTTTTAATAGCGCACAATAATAAATTCTCTTTGCGCTTTAATTATGTTACACGATTAATCTAAAGAAATAAATATAATAGCATGTGGTTACAGAAGTGCAGAAACCTATGACGTAGATGTTTTCGATAAAGAGGGAGGTTGTCTCCCGTTCGCAACGATATTTGTTCCTCCTTAGAGGATTATTTTACGTTCAAATCTTACAAATCAATAATAAGTTAAGCTTGCACGAATAACACAAAAAGGTAACTAAAACATCAAATTTAACTTACACATTTCAGTCAAATTTTCTAATACGCTTTTTTTTTTTTTATAAAAGAATCCTTTTTAAGTCTTTACTCGTTTTGTTTGTATGTGTCCCTTTCTGCTTCTAATCATTTGTGTTTCTATTTGATTTTGATTCATTTCATCAAGCATGTGTTTCCATGCGGAATCTCTTTTTTTAAAATAAACATACTTGTCCACTTTTGTTGAGTTTCAAAATAAAGTTATATTCACTCCGGAATAATATGATCAGGGGAGTGTTTGACAATAAGATCAACTTTAAGTTGGACTTAAATATGGCAGGCTGTTCAATTGCTCTCACCATTTACAGGCATTTGTCTCTCAAGGGACGTACACATCATGGTCACAAATCTACAGAGTTAAATTTTTTTTATAATTCGTTATTGAAGGAAAACATATTATCTAAAGATCATAATGGTGAGAGCAAACAGTGGCATGAGCGGCCTACCATTTTTAAGTCCAACTCTAAGTCATTGTGAAACAGTCCCTAAATGGTTTGCAACGACATTCTGGAGCACCTCAAGCCCGGACCCCAAGCATCCTGAGTCATGAATGCGAACACTATTTATTTACGCTTATCTAATTTAGTATTAATGTTCAGCTGAGAATGAGAAGAGAAACAGAGTGTTAAAGATGCAATAACGTTATCATTTTCCTTTTTTTTCCCTGAAGTTTTTCAAGTTTATTTATCTATTTCCACACATCTCAAACAATTTTAACACAATAAGTGCAAAACATGGGCCTTATACAATTGGAGACACAAGTATAAATGTCAGAGATTATAACATGTTAATAACTATTACACATATAGCCTGTATCATCAAATGATGAAAGAGAAATAAATATTCTCGTTTGTATCAAGCTGAAGAGAGAGTGTGGGGGACCCATACGAAAGGCGAAGCTTGTAATATATACTATAGGTCCCCATAAATAAATAACTTACAAATATACAAGAAATAGTGACGAAAGAAAGAGAGAGAGAGAAGGAGAGAATGAGGGAGGAAGGGAGATGAGGATGATGTTCAGCTCGAGAAAAAAGGAGTCCAACTCAGATTATAGTCGTAAAAATAGATAGGGAGAAACAAATAGGAGAGGATACGCAGAGAGAAAGATATAGTAAAAAAGGGATATAGATAGATTATCTCAAACTATTACATCAATGAAATCCATTTCGGGTTATACAAGCTACATCATATTATCACAAAGAATGCTCAAAGCAAACTACAAATACCATTTCCAATATCAACTCACTTGATATTGTTTGAAAAGAAATTTTAGAAGCAAATAAAATTACAAAGTTAACGACCATTTTAGAAGTAAACATTCTAGTCTTATAGATCATGTGATGTTACATTAGGCTCAAACAAAGCCAAATTAATACCTCCCCATATCTTTTCTATGTTTATCAGAAGTACCTGAACAAAAGAAAAAAGTTACTATATCCTTCTTAAAGATAAAGTTACATAAAACAATGAAACTATTACTGTACTTTTCCATTTCTTCGTATTCTCAAAATATTAAAGTTCGATGATAACTTTTTTGTTTATTGTTGGTCATATATGTACTTTCTCAATAAGTGCAGCAGCCGTTCCAAGTACTTCTACCGTATCACCATTTTATTGACAAAATTAATTTCAGCGAAAAAATGAATCACGCCATCATCATTATATATAGAGAAGAACAATGTCCATTCAAAAATAGATTTTAAAAGAAAAGGATTAGTATACGTTATAGCCTGGCCTTTTGAAAGACTCCATAAAGAAAATGCATTAGTATCATTCTGTTCTGTTCATCACTATTATATTAAGCTTTGTCATGTGCATGATGCGATTTTACTGTAATCGTAGATTTAAACACTGCGACGTAGAGAATCTTTATTCGAAATGCACTTTAAAAGTTTTGACCATTAACTATGAAAGCCTGGATATATAAAAGAAGATTGTCGTTGTATATCGATAAACATGTTTGTCGTGTCGAAGTCACTTTAAATCTTAGTCAATGTTCATTTTATAACCTTATTTCATGTTCTCTTGTACTTTACTGTAAATATGACAATGTTTGTTCGCGTAGTATTGCCCACTTAGTGCCGTATCACAATCATGGAGTATCAGTATTCTTATGTTTTGTCCGTGCATAACAAAGCAGCATTCATTTTACTTTGCCCATCTCGAATCGAGTAGACCAAACTCTCCTAATAAACACCGCTTACACATCTGAAATTGAGGTGGCCTCATAGGCAGGTTCGTACGCAGGTGGGAGGGTGGGGGGGGGGGGGGGGGGGGGGGGGGGGTGGGGTTAGGTCACTTTTTTTTTTTTTTTTTTTTGGGGGGGGGGGGGGTCTCCAAAACACACACACACAAATTGAGCCCCCACACCTGCGTACGAACCTGCCTCATTGTATGTGATGTTTGGAATGATTAATTAAAGACGGGTGTTAGATACGTAGTGAAGTATGCCAGTTCAGTTCTACATCCGATGCTAATCTTCCTATGGTAAAATGCAGAATGATTAGGACATTATGTTAGTCGTTAACCACAAATAGATACATAAATAAATGAATAGTAAATAAACAAAATGGAAAGAAAAGAAAAGATAAGGGCTGAATAGAAAAACGAAAGAGTGTTAAAAACAAGAAAATAATGATAAATAGGAATAAAGAGTAAAAGAGAGGAATAGACGTAAAGAAAAAAAAAAGAGAGAGAGATAATGCTTTGGCGGGCAGAAAGATCGAGCGAGCCCTAAATATCTTACTTTCCTGCCTTCTCAAAATTTCCTGCAAACAGACAGATAATGAACTATCGAGAAGAAAGTTCAATATCGAAATGTCATTAACACACCAATGTACATGAATTGAAGTTCAATTGATAGGAACCGTTGCTGGTGTAAAGATCCTATATATTAGAATATGTTAAAGGATTTCTAGTGTAAATGGGTTAGGATCACTATATTCCAGTTCAGTGGTTTAGGATTCATGAAAAAACCTTACCCCCCCCCCCCTTTTTTTCTTTTCTTCTCCTTCCTTCTATTTCCCTACTTCCTCATCCCTGGTAACAGACAATCATCGAGAAGAACTTCAAGAAGAAAGTCATTGGATCGAACCATTGATAGCATAATGGCACTCTCTCCATCTCTCTCTCCTTCTATCTCTATCTCTCTCTCTCTCCATCGGTCTATCGCTCTCTCTCTCTCTCCTTCTCCCTCCCTCTCAGTATTGCACAAAAAACTTATTTTCCGTAATCAAAATTACAGGTCACTGAGGGTCAAATTTGCCGAAGTAACAGTGACGACATAATATGAGCGCCTCATGATCGGCTCGCCTATATAGCTGAGGCGATGAGCCGTCCTTAATTATTAAATGCAAAGCCATTGTGAATATGCTTACCCACATAAGATGATGTCATAGTTTCGATAGCTAATTTTTAGGTTGACAACTCCCGATTTTCAACGCTTTGAATTTCGAGTTTTAGAGAGCTGTTACTCGTCTGACAGGCACTCAAGTAGCATATAATGATGTAGTCTATGGCGTGTAAGCTTTCCTTTGATATAATTATAATTCATCTATTTCATTTTTTTCACTTCCGACAAGGTCTTTAATCCTAACGACAACCCTACCTTATGTACACGGTATTGTATGCACATTGACGCAAATGAGCAATCTTTTAAAACAATAAAAGCTGATGAACAGTGGGCAAGAGCGAGGGGTAATTGATTACAGTTAACAAAACCGCCATGTCACAGATTAAAGGTAATACAAAGTTTTGGTATGGGGTGGTTCAAATGAACATATTGGAAGCATATGCGATCCTACAATATTCAGTGTCGTTGTCACGGTTGAAATCGAGGGTAAAGTTAAGAAATTGTAAAATAATAAACTCTTTATGTTGTATAGCTCCCTCACAAGGTCAAAATATGAATTAAGCTATAAAACAATGTTTCTTGACTAAAATCAACCGATTAGCTATTCCCGTTTTGAAATTATGGCTTATGCCGAAAGGGTGGGTAGCGTCGCGTTGACTTGAAACGCGACCATAATTCGTCCAAAGCCCCCCCCCCCCCCCCCCCCCCCCCCCCCCGTTTTTGCCGAAAGTGTGTGTTAAAAAAAAGGATGGAGAAGCAGAACTATCCGTTTATCGTACTTTTAGGTTGCTTGAACTATTTGTTATTATTGAAACTGTTTCACACAAAATAACTATGTGAAGTCAAACACAGAAAGACACGAATGCACACGCACATAAGCCCATGCATACATAATACAGGCGTCGGGTAAAAATGCCAGAGGAAAAAATACCAGAGGGAACAACGCCAGAGGAAAAT